GCAGGAGGACCGACACGCATGCGCCAATGTTCCTTTCCACTTGATGGAAAAATATTGTAAGAACGATTCCTTGCCAATAGTTTAAATATATAGTATTGTAATAATTTTCAAATCGCTGAAAGGATTTTTCGTTTGTGAAGACGCACAGGGGTCGAAAAACAACATATTGTTAAAAATTTTAGTAGGACCATGCTGATAAAAGTAAGCGTTGACAGCAAACAATAACCCGAAAAAGATTTTTTCTTTCTTATTTGAATTTGATGCGTCGAGTTCTGAAAGCCTCAATTTTTGTTTTCAGCTTCGACAGATTGTATAATATTTGGCATAAAAATATATCACTGGAAGTGAAAATTATTTGATCTTAATTGCTGCAATACAGTAAGCAGGTGTATAAACAGCACAGGATAATACATGTTATTACAGAGCCTTGGTTTTAGTGTGCGTGTTAATAAACCCCCCCCCCCCCCCCCCGGTCCCTGCCCCGCGTGTCCCGCATTTTACTAGCAGGAAGGCGGTCATCCTAGCAGCCTCCTCTGATTTATCTCCTGCTCTGGAAGCAGGACATAACCTTCTTATCAAAAAGGATCACCATGAATGTCCTCTTGCAACATCAGGCTGAAAAACGGTCGTATTTGGGGACATGTATGGTCTAACCGAGTGATTTCCTGATTGTTCGACGTTTGGATAGTGGGATGGTTTGAAGATGTTATGGTTTGATGCCGCGATAGTTTGATGGTTTAAAGGTTTATGCTAATTACGGACGTCTTAAAGCCTTTTGGTCTGACGATCTGTTAGTCTAATGGTCGGCATAAAGTTCTAATCGCACATAAACTTGACAAAAGGCAAATATAATATTACATATACTGGGTGTTTCAAGGAGCAGCCAAGTTCTTTAAATCGACCACAAAATTCGGTTTTTTAACCTATCGCGCTACGACTTTGTGCAACGTTGCCCACAGGCGGTGCATATTTTTTTTTTTCATTTGCAAAAAGCAAATTTGTTTGAGCGAAAAGTTAAGAAAGGAAAAGGCTTAGCGTCTATGGAAACGTAGCGAAGCTACCGTTCTTCAAACAATACGGCGCTGTTTCGCACGGAAGACAAGAGATGGCGCAAGCGGTCGCGACGCCAACTGCCGCCAACGGACGAACATACGCCGCCGAGAGCTGGCTTCTTTAGCAGACGATCTTTTCGACTTAAAAGCGGCGCAAGTTCCGCAGGCGGCGACAGTCGCAGAAAGAAAAACAGTCACGGACAAGGAACTGCAAAGCAGACGACATAAGTACCACGACCAAAACAGTTAAAATAACTCGACAAACCATTTTAATCGATTATGTGTCCATTCAATGTGTTTTATTAGTAAGGATGATAAAATAACGCATTGTCAACTGATATGAAAAAAGCTCGCGCCGCTTTTGGCTCGAAAAGATCGTCTGCTAAAGACGCCAGCTCTAAGCGCCGTATGCTCGTCCGTTGGCGGCAGATGGCGTCGCGAACGTTTGCGCCATCACTTGTCTCCCGTGCGTCTGGTAGCTTCGCTGCGTTTCCATAAAAGCTAAGCATTTTCCTTTCTTTACTTTTTGCTCAGGTAAGTTCGCTCTTTGCAAATTTTGCACAAAAAAAAAGCACCATATGTGGGCAACGCTGCACAAATTCATTGCGCGCTAGGTTAAGAAACCAAAATTTGCGGTCGATTTAAACAGCTTAGCAGCTCCCTGAAATACCCAGTATTTATGAATTTTTGTGTGCAGGTTCTTATCAAGATTAAAAAATGCTGAAGCGTTTTGATTTTGTACAAAATCCCCGTGGAAATCTGCAAATATACTTCTGCTTATTCTATGTTTAATATTTCTTATTAAACAATATGGAAGGCTTAAGGATTAAACAGCAAAAAGAAAAAAACGGAAGAGATAACGCATCCCGTCCACACTCTACTTTCGAGACTCCACAACGTTCTTTTTTAGCAGTGTTCATTGCATGGCGATAAGCGCTCTCTCCGTCGCCGGGCACGACGGCGTCGGTCGGCATCCTGCAATACTATAAGCTTATTTTCAACCGAGAATGCCGTAAGCCCATTCTTACCGAAGTCGTGGTTTCTCAAAATTTTACACACGCACACATTATACACGCACATCAAGCAGCTGCATTTAAAAAAGGAACTGCTTTGCCTATTTTATTGCAAATATGCGCTATCTATTTGACATTTAAATCGGATCAGTTTACTGTTTGATTGAGAAATAAGGACACATATTAAAAGAAAGTTATGATTGCAAAATCATACCTGGAGGTTACAGTCCGTAAAAAACCGTAGTATCTACTACTATGGTTATTTACGGACCGTACCAATTCGGCACCGACCAATCACAGCGCAGCAGAGCGGCGCCCCTTCCCACTCTCCCATCCCAGTGACCAATGTCAGGCCGTGGGCATCGATGGCCACGCCCACGGTGGTCACCGACATAGGAGGCCCCGGACACAGGGTGTCGGGCAGTGACCAATCGGAACTCGCCCGGGTACCGCCCCCGAGGTATGCGGTACAGGTGTGAGGTCACGTACCTCAAACCACACGCGTGGTTGACCAGGTGTTGACAGCAGTCGTCATCATCTGATAACAACCAAGTGATGTCACAGGGTCCGAGCTTCGTCCGAAAGAGGGTGCTATAGGACTTGAATTGCAACGAGGACGGGTGTTCCGCGAACCAGAACATACAGAGTGAAGTACCAGCAAATGGATACAGTGTGCACTGCTTGTGGAGAGGAGGACGAGAGGGCTGAGCATAGGGCTTCCCCCTATGCCTACCAAAGACAACATAGATTTAATAAAGTCATTGGGTTTTAGAGACAGCGAAGGGAGAGTGGATTTTAAGACTGTAGAGATTACCAAGCAAAGATTAAGTGAATGGTTGCATAAATCGAAAGAAAACTAGGTATTTTCTTATTCACTGATGGCAAGGGGGTTTCATAGCCTCACTTGCTTTGCACTGCGGTGTGAATATAGATTCCACAATTAATATTCTAAGCTTAAATGGTAAAACAAAATGGCTAGGTCTACCGCCCGATCCAAAGGGCTCAGCCGCATTCATCCATCCATCCATCCATGCGGCGCTCAGGGCGACTCAGGTGTGATGTCAGAGGGTTCGAGCTGTGTCCGACGGAGGGCGCTCACGTGATGTCGCACAGGGTTTGTGCTGCATTCGAAAGAGGGCGCTGCGCTGCGGTCATATATGGTCACATGACATTATTTTTATCGCTGCGCGGTAAATGCATTTCAATCGCTAAAAAAGGCTCCGCGGCCGGCAGGGAATCGACCTCTCTACCTCGGGCACAGCAGCTCGACACCCTACACCCTGAGGAACGAGCACATTGCTTCCCTGACTGCTTAACTCGTCATAGTTGTCCGTGTGTGTGTGTGTGCAATTCAGATGACGTGTTTTCCTACCACTTGGCGTTTGTAATGCGGCTAAAAAACAGGATGCGTCAGTGTCGTAGGTCATGTGACGATGATCGTGTGACGTAATGCATCGCTGGACGCTAACGTTACTCGTCTTCCTATCACGTGATTTCGCGCGCGCGATTCAAACGGTGCGCGCGGACTCGTCACCTCGGGAATGGCTTTCCTAATCTGGGTGAAAAAAACAAACAACCCTCCACGGAGTTTGAACGAGTCATTGCTCCAGGTCTTGTGACGAAGCCTATCTACAATTCCATCATGCAGGAACAAGTCTAGACATGTTTTGATATGTCTCGAGAGCGCGGAATGTTATTTTAGGTCTTGTTTTCGGCCAGGGAAACGCGCTGCAGTTCTGCCCCGTAAAGAAAGCCGAGAACGGGCTCTTTTCTCACCATATCGACTAAGTGGTAGGTATTGGGCACACCTAATCGAATTCGATCCACGATAAGCACCTCGTCCGTAAACGACTGCTTGTACTTCTTCAAGAGAACGTGACGATCTTTGGAGATGCGCACATGCTCACCCACGCGAAATTTAGGTATTTTCACGCGACGGGGATTGGGGAACAAGTGAAAAAAAAATTCGGTCTGGTTCTGTGGGTTAACATCGACCGGCCTAGCGTTCAGTTTCCTGTGGTGGCTAAAATGATGAGATTTGATGATTTCCGAAAGGATTTCAACTAATCGTTTGGTTCGTGCATACTAAAAGTACTTGTACACCTGACTAATTAAGCCGCGCTGTACGCGTTCCACTATCAAAGCCTTCTGCTTCGAATACACGGAATACAATTTAATGTCGTTTTTCTCCAGAAACGAGAGGACCAATCTTCCGTAAAATTTACGACCACGATCCGTACATAAACGATTGCTTTTCCCCATATTGCGAAAGACAATTTTCAACGTCCTGACAACTTCCTCGCCCGTCTTTGGAGCTATAAGGATTACGGTGAGATATCATGAGAACGTATCAATCACAAACAAAATATATCGTTTTCCATCGTTGTATTTGGTAACATTTTGAATTTCCATTAGGTCAGCTTCATAAACGTCTCGCACTCTCAAGGATAGCGTTTTGCGGTAAACGCGAGGGCGTTTGGTTTCCCGGATTTTACTGTCTATACGTGGGTGCGCGCCTGTGTTGCGGTGTACCGCTCCGCGAGTGCATTCAAGCTTTCTCGGCGAGCGACTACCAACGGAACGACCGACAGATTTCCATACTCGCGCGCAAGCGATTTCCTTCTCCCGCTTTAAAGCTCTCCTGCTGCTCCGCTCTGTAACCTGATCTCGAAATAAAGCCACACAAAATGGACGCAAAGCGAGGATGGGTCTTTTCTCTTTTTTATTCAATATGCATGTATCTAAGATATTTTCAAAACATGGAAAAACAGATGGCGCGCGACAGCTCTTTATGCAAATATCAAACCACTTGGTGAAAAACAAAAACAAAAAAACCTCGCGCTACATATAAAAGGCTCTTTACAATACCCTCTGTACACACACACACGCACACACACACACACATACGTCAGCTTGAAATGAAAAAAAAAGTGCTTCACAAAAAGCTCCAATGACCAAAAGGAAGAGTTGAAACGCCGTCAGAGTCGATGAAGCGCTTGTTGTCAAACGGGTTGAATCGTATCTTCTCCACGACAACAGTCATGTTCTCGCACAACTTACGAGCGATAATCCGCTGCGTGATCTTGTACAGAGTTTGTTGCTCGAGAGTTTGAACGTACAGCTCGTAGGTTAGCTTACGGAACTCGCATCTTTTCACCCCTTTCGCCCTCACGTAGTGCTCTCTAGAGGCTAGTTCCATCAAATAGAGTTCCGGTTTTAAACAAACAAATCCAAGAATGTGATCTTTTGGGAGCTCGCTTTTGAACACTCCTAGTTTCATTTTGTTTGCGGGAGAGAACAAAGGGTGATGGACTGGGTACCCAGAAGTATCCAGGTGAGTTTCGGCAAGGGTCGCGAGCTTCGAGTCGACATTCGGGTCGGTGATTTGGAGGATGAACGAGTCCGTGTCGCTGTACGCTGCGCGAGCGTCGGGGAAAACGCGCCTGACCTGCTTGTAGAAAAATTCGTACATGACCAGTTTGGACATCTCTAGGATAAAGAAGCCCGCGTACTCGGGTTTGTTCAAGTGTAGGGTTCTCTGGGAAAACTGAAAGATCACCACGGTCGGGCTAATTGCCGCAAACTGTCTGAGGTTAGGTTTCTGCAGGGTTTTCGGCACTTCGTCCTCGCTCACGCTAATGACAACGTTATTGTACTGACGTGGGTTTTCTATAGTCTTGCCATAAATTTAATTCATAATGAGCTTAGATAGGTTCTTTTGAAAGGCATTTGTCGCCTGTTTTCGGAGGTTGTGGTTAAAGTTGATGAAATCTTTAAGGAATGTACTCCGACTCTGCGAAAACTTCAATACGCGATGAATGACCTTTAGTTTTAAGCCCATTTCCAGATACAGCTTGAGATTTCGGTAGTGAATGATGTAATTGCGTTTCGGGTAAAAGGTGAGAAGCAACTTTCGCTTAGACTCTCGCTGGGGTAGGTGAAATTTTTCGACGAGCGCTTTTTGACAGGGTGAGAGCCATTCGAACGGGACTCCTCGTTCCTCGGGAGCCAGGGGAAAGTCCGCGTGCGAATCGTGTAGTTCCCGGGGGTAGTCAAGGTCCACGTCTAAAATGTAACCCTCGGGCTGTAAGTGGAGAGCGTCGATTTCCGCACGGTCTAACCAGCGAAAATCGGCGCATGGAAGGTGTTGTCGCATAGTGGAGGCGTACAGGCCGTTCACGTCGACGTCTAAAATTTGAGAAACCACCGTGTTCTGATTGAAACATGCGGTTCCTGACACATCAGCCCTCGTGTTACGAATAGCACATTGAACAATTCCTCCTCGCAGACCCGCTTCGATGAAGAGATACGCGTCCACGTCGTCGAGCAGCTCCAGTTTTACTTCAGTTTGTTCAAGTGCGCAGGCGAGACTGAGCGCGGGGAGGGAAACGTAGTGTAACGGATCGAGCTCGTACGTGTCTAAAGTTCATTTCTCGAAATTTTGGAACACTTCGGCGAGAAGTAGGCAGCCGAGATGCAGGTAGCGGTGACTGTATTCTCCTAGACTTTTGAAATTTGATGTTTCAAAGACGCTTTTGGCGTGACGATAGTCCTCCTCTGAAATTTGGCTGTTGTTAAGCTTCTTGTAAAGCGGCTCGCACGGCGGTAGCTCGGGCTCCCGGTAAGCCTCGAAACTGGTCACGTAGTCGCAGGGAAATACTCCTTTCCGCACCAGAAGCTCAACGTGCTGCGGAAAAGCCTGCTTTAGACAGCACAGGTTTTGTAGTCACTTGGAACGGAGGTCCTGAACCAGCGCGTCCAAGCTGGCGGGGAGAAATGCCAGACTGTCGAGAAACCGCAGGTTACCCACGTCGAGTCGATTAAATTGCTGGCAGCTAGTGGCGAGCACCTTAATATCTTTAGACTCGAATAAGTCGTGTTTCGGTAGGATAAAGGCCAGGTCATACAAATGGTTGTGCGCGAGCACTGGAATAACTTTCTTGTTTACTCTCAAATTTAAATTGCATCTCTGACACAACGACTGCCTGTACGATCCGCTGAAGTAGTCGTGATCTCTGACTTTTCTCTTTCGACTTCCGAACGATTCGCCACAAATCGCGCAGTGAGAGGCCGACGCGTGAGCCTCTTCGTTCACGCTCACCATTGGGACTTCCTCGCTTCGAATCCATTCGCCAATGAGCTTTGACAATTGATTAAGGATGGAAATGAACTTTTCCACGCAGTCCTCGCCCCGGTACAAAAACTGCTCGACGATGCCCGAGACCGTGGATCGGATTACGAGTAAGCAAAATGAACTGGGGACGTGCTTCTCGTAAGCCTGACCCATGTGTTCCGCTTCCAGAATGGCCTCGAAATCGTAGACGCGAAACTAGGGGAAAGGTTCCGTCGTGTGTGGGCTCCGGAAAAACAGCGCGTCCCCCTTTGCAGGACACACTGTTCGGACTGCCTTCTTTTCTTTACACAGCGATAAATGACTCCCCAGCGCAGTTCGAAAGCGAAAGCCTATCATACACCTTTTACAGCGAAAGCGGCGAGTGTGCCTGTTCGCGAAAAGTCCGGCAAAGTTGGTGATTAGAACAAAGTGATAGTCTATTAGGAGCAAATCCACGTGCTTCTCCCGCTCGCTATCGCTGACTTTGAGCGGGTAGACGAACCTTTGTTCTCGACCGTAACCGTACACGTTCACGGGCACGGAGTTTTTCCTCTCGAAAGCCTGTACGTCTTGCGGAAACGTCACTCGATACGCGGTGGGGAACCAATATTTGGTCATATGCTCTCGGTAGCAAGAAGCTCTCGATCGTTTATAGGGTACGGGATGGAGACCGGCGAGCACAGAAAACATAAAGCGCATGTTTCTTTCCGAGTCAGTGAGTTGCTCGGTCACATTCACTAGGCACTTTGCGCTTGGGAGTTCACCGGGCAACACGAAGCTTGCACAACCTACCGTGGGCGGAATGAAACGTCCAACGGTGATGGTGCAGGTCTGAATGGCGATGACGGCAAGCTCGGGTCCTCGTTCTTGATACTGTTAGAGGCGAGCAGAGATCTCGGCGCATGCAGTCTGTAGAGCATCGCGAATGCTACCTTCGGCCCAGACCGTGTGGACTAAGCAATGAAAGTAGTGCACGCTAAATTCGAATTCGTCGTCGCCATTGAGACGAGTCATTTCCACGTTTATTGTGATGAAAAAATGCAATGGCATTTTATAATGCCTAAAAACATTGGCCATTGCGTCGGACTGAAGCCGAAAATGCGTGGATACAAAATGAGACTCGTTGTCGCGCTCGTGCAAATGCATATCATAACGCGCGGTAAAGTTTCGAAAGGAGCACAGCGAGTTGATGAAGGGAAGGCAATCTTGCGGCGGGATATTGTGAATCTGGGCCAGGTGAACTTGTAATGACTCGGCGCTTTAGTATTGCTGCCGCTCTCGCGCATCGCGCAAGTGGCAGGTTACCATTTTTTTTCTTGTTCTGCGTGACTCACAAGTTTTTAGTCAGAGCATGAGAAGGTAACAACGGGTGACCGCTAGTCACCGATGGTTTTTTTCATTAATAGTCCGGTCACTGTCTTCACCTTCTGGATGTCTTCCTCGTTGAGCTCGGCGAATAGATTCGGTAAAAATACTTTTACGACGTCGCTCTCAAGTTGGAGAGTAACACAAGCTGATGGTCCGTAACGGGTGTCCATTCACCTCACATCCAGCACGGGTATCTTAACATTACACGGAGTGGTGCTCATGCTTAAAAAGACAGAGGATGACGACGCTCGCAGTGAAGACAGCTTGTTCAGGAACCCGTCCATTTTTGGATTGACCGCGGAGAGGGCGGCGCCGATGGCTCCAGGTGAGATGACAGGTCTGGAAATAATCGAGAAAAAGCTGCAAAGCTTTTCCTTGCATTACCTTTTCTTCCGCGGAGTGAAAGCAGTGAACGGAGACAAGTGTATGAACCCTCGACATTTATACCAAGCGGATTGCGAAATGACAACTCGCCGTCAATCAACACCTGCGTCACTATATACGAAAAAAAAACAACAAAAAAACACGAGACTGAAAAACAAAAGCGAACGAGCGGATTGTCAACACAACGTATTTAATTTGCATATAAAAAAATCACATTTCGAGCTCATGATACACGTCCAAACATGTCTAGACATTTTCCTGTTAGGTACGTACTTGTATCGCGCGGTCAGCTCCGAGCTTGGGGACCATTCGCTTTTTCTTTTTATCGGTTATCCTTCGTTGGGTAAACATTGAGATTTGGGTATACGTTCGGGCGTCGTTATAAACCGCACTGTTGTGACGCGTGTGAGCGTTTATCGTGAAGCAAAAGCCGCGCTGGAGCTGCTCGACGACGTGGATGCGTATCTCTTCATCGAAGCGGGTCTGCGAGGAGGAATCGTTCATTGTACTATTCGTAACACGAGGGCTAATGTGTCAGGAACCGCATGTTTTGATCCGAACACGGCGGTTTCTGAAATTTTAGACCTCGAAGTGAACGGCCGGTACGCCTCCACTATGCGACAATACCTTCCATGCGCCGATTTTCGCTGGCTAGACCGCGCGGAAATCGACGGTCTCCCCTTCCAGCAGGTTCCCGACGACGCGCCCCAGGGTTACATTTTAGAGGTGGACCTTGACTTCCCTCGGGAACTACACGATTCGCATGCGGACTTTTCCCTGTCTCCCGAGAAACAAGGAGTCCCGCTCGAATGGCTCTCACCCCATCAAAAAGCGCTCGTCGAAAAATTTCACCTACCCCAGCGAGAGTCTGAGCGAAAGTTACTTCTCACCTTTTACCCGAAGCGCAATTACATCATTCACTACCGAAATCTCAAGCTGTATCTGGAGTTGGGCTTAAAACTAAAGGTCATTCATCGCGTTCTGGAGTTTTCGCAGAGGGCATTTCTTAAATATTTCATCGACTTTAACCACAACCTCCGAAAACAGGCAACAAATGCCTTTCAAAAGAACCTATCTAAGCTCATTATGAATTCAATTTATGACAAGACTATAGAAAACCCACGTCAGTACAATAACGTTGTCATTAGCGTGAGCCAGGACGAAGTGCTGAAAACCCTGCAGAAACCTGACCTCAGACAGTTTGCGGCAATTAGCCCGACCGTGGTGATCTTTCAGTTTTCCCAGAGAACCCTACACTTGAACAAAACCGAGTGCGCGGGCTTCTCTATCCTAGAGATGTCCAAACTGGTCATGTACGAATTTTTCTACAAGGAGGTCAGGCGCGTTTTCCCCGACGCTCGCGCAGCGTACAGCGACACGGACTCGTTCATCCTCCAAATCACCGACCCGAATGTCGACTCGAAGCTCGCGACCCTTGCCGAAACTCACCTGGATACTTTTGGGTACCCAGTCGATCACCCTTTGTTCTCTCCCGCAAACAAAATGAAACTAGGAGTGTTCAAAAACGAGCTCCCAAAAGATCACATTCTTGTATTTGTTTCTTTAAAACCCAAACTCTATTCGATGGAACTAGCCTCTAGAGAGCACTACGTGAGGGAGAAAGGGGTGAAAATGTGCGAGTCTTGTAAACTAACCTACGAGCTGTACGTTCAAACTCTCGAGCAACAAACTCTGTACAAGATCACGCAGCGGATTATCGCTCGTAAGTTGTGCGAGAACAAGACAGTTGTCGTGGAGAAGATACGACTCACCCCGTTTGACAACAAGCGCTTCATCGACTCTGACGGCGTTTCAACTCTTCCTTTCGGTCATTGGAGCTTTTTGTTGAAGCACTTTTTTTTTCATTTCAAGCTGATGTATTCCTGTGTGTGTGTGTGTGTGTGTGTGTGTGTGTACAGAGGGTATTGTAAAGAGCCATTTCTATGTAGCGCGAGGTTTTTTTTTGTTTTTCACCAAGTGTTTGATATTTGTATAAGGAGCTGTCGCGCGCCATCTGTTTCTCCATGTTTTGAGAATATGATGCATGCATATTGAATAAAAAGGAGAAATGACCCATCCCCTCTTTGTGTCCTTTTTGTGTGGCTTTATTTCGAGATCAGGTTACAGAGCGGAGCAGCAGGAGAGCTTTAAAGCGGGAGAAGGAAATCGCTTGCGCGCGAGTATGGAAATGTGTCGGTCGTTCCGTTGGTAGTCGCTCGCCGAGAAAGCTTGAATGCACTCGCGGAGCGGCACACCGCAACACAGGCGCGCACTTACGTATATACAGTAAATTCCGGGAAACCAAACGCCCTCGCGTTTACCGCAAAACGCTATCCTTATGAGTGCGAGACGTCTATCAAGCTGACCTAATGGAAATTCAAAAAAATAATGGAATACAACGATGGAAAACGGTATTTTTTGTTTGTGATTGATACGTTCTCTCGATTTCTCACCGTAGTCCTTATAGCTCCAAAGACGGGCGAGGAAGTTGTCAGGGCGTTGAAAATTGTCTTTCGCAAAATGGGGAAAAGTAATCGTTTATGTACAGATCGTGGTCGTGATTTTTACGGAAGATTGGTCCTCTGGTTTCTGGAGAAAAACGACATTAAATTGTATTCCGTGTATTCGAAGCAAAAGGCTTCGATACTGGAACGCGTACAGCGCAGCATAATGAGTCAGCTTTACAAGTACTTTGAGTGTGCACAAACGAAACGATTAATTGAAATCCTCCCGGAAATCGTCAAATCTTATCATTTTAGCCACCACAGGACACTGAACGCTAGGCCGGTCGATGTTAACCCACAGAACCAGACCGAATTTTTCTTTCACTTGTTCCGCGATCCCGGTCGCGTGATAATACCTAAATTTCACGTGGGTGAGCATGTGCGCATTTTCAAAGATCGTCACGTTCTATTGAAGAAGTACAAGCAGTCGTTTACGGACGAGGTGCTTATCGTGGATCAAATTCTATTAGGTGTGCCCAATACCTACCACTTAGTCGATATGGTGAGAAAAGAGCCCGTTCTCGGCTCTTTTTACGGGGCAGAACTGCAGCGCGTTTCCCTGGCCGAAAACAAGACCTAAAATAACATTCCGAGCTCTCGAGACATACCAAAACCTGTCTAGACTGGTTCCTGCATGACGGAATTGTAGACAGGCTTCGTCACATGACCTGGAGCAATGACGCGTTCAAACTCAGTAGAGTTTTTTTTTTCTTTTTTCACCCAGGTTACGAAAGCCATTCCCGAGGCGACGAGTCCGCGAGCACCTTCTGAATCGCGCGCGCGAAATGACGTGATAGGAAGACGAGTAACGTTAGCGTCCAGCGATGCATTACGTCACACGATCATCGTCACATGACCTACGACACTGACGCATCCTGTTTTTTAGCCGCATTACAAAAGCCAAGTGGTAGGAAAACACGTGTTCTGAATTGCACACACACACACACGGACAACTAAGACGAGTTAAGCAGTCTGGGAAGCAATGTGCTCGTAGCTCAAGGGGTAGAATGTCGAGCTGCTGTGCTCAAGGTAGAGAGGTCGATTCCCAGCCGGCAATGACGCGTGCCTCAAGCCTATATAAAATACGTTCACCGCGCAGCGATTCAAATAATGTCACGTGACCATCATGTGACCGCAGCGCAGCGCCCTCTTTCGGATGCAGCACAAACCCTGTAACATCATACGTGAGACGCCTGAGCGCCGCAATTCGTCCTCTAGCGCCCTCTGTCGGACGAAGCTCGGACCCTGTGGCATCACGTAGTTGTTATTAGATGATGACCACAGTTGTCAACACCTGGTCAACCACGCTTGTGGTTTGAGGTCTGAGGTTTGAGGTACGTGATCTCACACCTGTACCGCATA